TATATATCAATCTCATCTGCTTAATAAGTGCATTATAATTTATCAATTTAATTTATAATCATTTTACCATCCTGCTCCTGCTCCAAGCATGAAAAAATTTTTAACTGAGTCTCATTATCATTTTAGACAAGAAATTTCAACAAAAAAATATGATAAATTGGAATATAAACCAATTCACTCAGAAGATTACTTAATTTTAACATAAGTAGTTAAAATTGAGAAACAATTTTATTATCTTACATTATCCAATAAATTAAAATTAAAATAAGTATTTGGTAAAGATTTATGGGAAGATGAGTTTGATATTGAATTGAAACAACTAATCAATTATTCTGTAGGAAGAACAGGATATATAATTGATTTAATAGAATTATAGAATATATTATAGCAAAAATTAGAAATTGTGAATTGCAGAATTTAAATCAAAGAAAATGAGACTGATAATTCATATTAAAAAAAATTAATTAAAATTTATAGAGTGAATAAAAGACTATATCATGTAATCTAATCATTAGAATTTGTTGAAGAAGGACTCAAAGAATTATCATAAGTAAGTAATAGCCAATAATCTGATGGTGTTGAATTAATTGAAGAATAAAAAAGAGAACCACTTATTGATATTGTATTTTTACTTGGAGTCATAAATAATAATACCTATGTTTAATATCCAAATGTTATACCTAATTGTTATTTATTAAGAAATGTAAATGGAAAGTTCATGTTATAAGACCCTGAGCAACCTAGAAAACCTAAATTTCCTTTTAGATTAATCATGTCTCATGAAGATATGAATAAACACATTTCTAGAACAAATGAATAAACTATTAATGCAAAGGATATCACACTATTTCCTCATTACAATTCAGTATTTCTTGTTCGATAAAATTAATTCATTTACAAACCAATAGGAGCAAAATTGAGTATTCTATCAAATGAAAGAAAATTGCATCAAGATATAAGAAATTTCTAATCAAAAGCTAATTTATTAATATATTATAACAATACTAAAAAGATATCCTTTTAACTTAATTCTGAATAGACAGAGAAATGGGCTCATTTGTTTTAAATTGAAAGAAGTATGCGTTAACACATTTTAAATTATAAAACAAAATTAAAAAAAACTCTTGTAGGATTTTAACTGTATTAAAATGAGAATCGTTCTTCATAATCTAAGGATCCAAGATATTTATTTATGCAAGATAAATTTGTTTAAGCAAAATAATATTTTATTTAAACAAAAATTAAATCAATTGGTTGTGTATTTGTTTCTGCAAAGATACATTCTTCACTAATGCTAATGAGAATTATGCCAGCTGGAAACAAAAGCAAATCTCATATTTTTATATTTTAAATTAATTAATAAGATCCTATAAAATTGATTTATACCTTATGTAAATAATTCATTCTTAAAGCAACTTAAACTTATTCAAAATTAGAGCTAATACCTATCACATAAAATTAAATACGTAAATAATATCTATTATCAAATTAATATCATGATAACAATGTTGTAATAGGTTAAAAATCCCATTCAAGAGTAGTGTATAAATAAGTTAAAAAAATAGATAAATGTTATTTTATAATAATAGTTACTTTAATTAATAATTATTTTTAAATCTATCTCTATAACTAAAGTAATTGTAGAAGATTTTACTTTACAATTCATAGATCAGATTTTTTAATTATGAATTAATACTTTTTAGATTCAATATTTCCAGAATAACCCCCTGAAATAGTAGAATAATTCTTTAGACCTTGGAAAGTTAATGAAATCGAAAAGATATTTGCCTTAATTATTAAGGCACCTGAAACTTTTAGGAATAGAACAAAACTTTATCTTAAATAAATTAATGAGACAAAAAAGGTTCTTAAAAGATCTGCTACATCTAGTTTCTCTAGTTTAAATGTTCTTTAGAGACAATCCACATTATAACTTAATCAATAAATTGATGAATCTAATGGGGATGATATAAATAAATCATGCTGGTTATTTGATAAATTATTAATATCTAAATCTAATAGTGTATTTGAGAAAAAGTTATGGATGGAAATAATTAAATAGATGAATATTAATGGAAATTTAATTATTTTAGATACCTTTAAGACAGTATTATCAGAATTAGTATATTTTAATGATAGAACTTGTAATTTTCTATGTTATATTCCATGTCTTGAAATTTTACAATCTTTTAGATGGCAACCTATAAGATTAAGAATTCATTCATATGAAACTTGTAAAACTATAGATGTTCCTATAAATATAAGAGGAAAGTAAGTTTAAGTCTATAAATAGTGTAATTCTTTATATTTTAATTATAAAATTAATTAATGCATACCTAGTAATCAAGATAGTATGAAAGTCAATAAATATAATGATTAAAAATATATCAAATATTAACTACTTTATAAAGGAGCATTTATGAAACATAATATGCTTTTTATAGCTATATATTTATATAATGATGTATTTTAAATTAGAATTTTTAGTTAAACTAATTCTATATTAAGAAAATTGGATGTTAATTAAGTAGAACTAAAGATTCCATACATTAGATAATTATTAGTATTGAATCCTCAAGAAGCTGGCCGAAGATTAAGTATGATATATAGAAATAACTTTATACATGCTTCATTTTTAAAGTTGTGATATTTTTTATTCATATAAATTTCTGTAAATAGCATTTCAATTTAATATCCAACTTCAATAAAAATAAAAAATAAAAGAAATTTAGATAATAAATAAAAATGAAATGTTTGTAATAAAAGTAAACTAAAAATGAGTAGTGTAATTTATTATTTTTATTTTAAACGATTCAATTTTTTGGTTATTTTTTCTACTCGTTAGGATTTTTGAATCTTATATAAAAATCCTATTAGTCGTACTAATTTAATAGTTTTTCCTTATTATATCCATCATCCATCCTTTCTAATAACCATTAAAATAATTATTTTTCAGATCCAAAATCACTTAGATAAGCTAATAATTATTTCATTTTTAATACTTTAACATAATGGATGTATTATTATTTCTTATTCAATAATATCAAGGCAGACATTCTTCAATATAAATTATTTAATATGATTTTAAATAAATTATTATACTGATTTTTCATCTAAGAATTATAGTTCAGTGATTAAACTAACATTAGTATCTTAGTATTCTTCAGTAAATATGAAAATTATTCCTCTTGTATCAACTGTGAGAATTCTTGGATCATTATTTGGTAATTAATGAAAATTTGGAGCAGGTTTATTTCTTCTTAATATTCCATGTTTAATTTAAGGTAAAGTAGTAATTAATTTATTTATAGAATAAGCAAAATCTACTTTTATAGGATGTGGAGGTAAAATAGAACCTATAATTGTTTTTAATATTGATTTAGGTTCTTCTATCACTCCTTTTTATTAGAGTTTATCAACATAATATTAATTTAATGATCTAATAATTTATATAATAAGTATTACTGATGAAATCTCATTAATTAAAATACATTCACATAAGCTGCAATTTTCTTTTCTTAAGAATAATCAATCATTGTTGATTTTTATAATTAAGTTGTTTCTTAAATTAATTCAAAATACTCTTTAAATCCTTATTCTAAAATCTCTCCTTTAATATTATTCTTCTCTACAAATTTGCTTTAGAATTCTTTAAACTTTTTTATTAATTTTTCCAAGATTTCCATAAAATCTACAGAATTTCCTGTATATTTTTAAAAATTATTAGCAGCTATAAATTAAAGGAAGATTGGAAAAGAATAATATTAATTTGGTGTTAAATCTTTTTAAGATTCTAAGGGTATTATAAGTTAAGATTCTAATAATTGTTGACTAACTTATTGAATTTCTAATTAATTTTTGCAGGCTTTTTAAAGATAATTTAAAATATCTTGACCTAAAGCACCTATATATTCACTAAACTATTAAAAATTATTTTTACATTTAATTAATGAATCCATATATTACTTTTCTTAATTATATTTTCTCTATCATATCAGCAGATATAGCAATATAATTTTCATCTAATACTTATTCTGTTGTTTCAGGTTACAATTATGGACCCAATTATAATCGTTTGACTGAAATTAAATTAGCTAACAAAAAATCAAAAAAACTTAGTACTTTCATTAGGATGATCCTTATAAAATTAATTAATTTTTTCTTCAATACAGGGTATAGCAGCTAGATCTTCAACTGTTGGCCTATTATTAGGATCCTTTTATAATGTTTTTTCAATTAGTTATTAAAGATCTTAGTCAACTGATGGATCCATATCATAAGGTTTATTTTGAATCATCTCAAAAATTATTTGAATGTTATCATGTTAGAATGGTCGTTTTAACATAACCAATTCATATAAAGCACAACCTAAAGCCCATATATCAGATTTCTTTCCGTATGGTTAACCTCTAATAACTTCAGGTGACATAAAATAAGGAGTTCCAAGAAAAGTTTATGCAAAATTGGCATGAGTACCTAATGCTTTTGAAATTCCAAAATCTCCTAATTTAATTACCTATTCTATTAAAAATATAATGAAATATAAACCTTTATTCAAAAACATATTTTAAGTTTTAATATCTCTATGAAGGATATTCTTAGAATGCATAAAATGTATTGCAATTACTAATTAAGCCATCCAAGCTAATATTTAATCTTTTGGAACCTAATTTCCATATCGTTAATATTCAGAGATTTTCTCAGTTAATGATCCTCCTTCTGCATATTCCATGATGATATTCAAAGACTCATTTTCAGTGAAACTTTCATAATATTTAATTATTGTTGGAGCTGTTAGAACTCTTAATAAACTCACTTCATTTTCAGCATTTTTTCTTTCTTATTCATTCATAAAAAAGGTTGGAATTACCTAAATTCATTTATATTTTACTTTCATTGCATATAATTCTTAATCAGTACTTTTTCTTACTAATTCTACAGAACCAGAAGCACCTTTACCTATATTTCTAACAATTGTATAATATCCTTTTTCGTTTTAGTTGCCCTATAACAAATTTAAATAGATTTATACATTTCGTGACTTTGGCTTTTTTTTTACGAATGTTTAAAGCCCTTGAAGTTTTTTAAAATTTACAGGTTTTACCATATAATCTTCTGCTCCTGCATTTAAACAAGCAGCAACTGTTTCTGTCTCATCATCACCACTCATCATAATCACTGGAACATCTTTCAATTTATCAATACTTGATTCTCAAATAAATTTTTACGCTTTTATAATTTACAAAAGTTCCAAACCTGTCATCTCAGGAAGACCTAAATCCAACAAAATTAAATCAAATTCATTTTCTACTTTCAGAAGTTCATCCCTTGCTTAAATACCTGTTTCACATGCCACTACTTAATAATTACACAATTATAATAAATCAATTAATGCTATCCCTATTATATAAATTGCAAATAAGACTTTAAATAGGAGCATCTTCTGCAAGGAGTACATTAATAACTTCTTTAGTCTACTCATCTCTTTTAACTCTTTACATAAAATTATTTAATAATTAATTCAATTCAAGACTAGAATATACTTTTAAATCATTCATTTTTCATTTTAATAAACAATAAGAATTTTTATGCTTTTGAGATCATCACAAAACCCAAACAACTATATAAAAATAAAATATTCAAGTATTTATGATGTTTAAATTTTATATAAGGATTTAAACAAATATTTAATAATAACTAAAAAAAAATTAATTTTAGATTATTAGCATAAATAAACTTAGCCTTCAAAAATTTAATATTCTTATATTAATTTATTTCTAATTCTCAAATATATTGAGTATCATAAGAAGGATTGATATTATTATAAAAAAATTCATTAATGATTTTCTTAAAGAATTCTAAACTTTAAGATAAAGTCAAATTATAATAATATTTTATTTGTGTTTTTATCTTTAAATATTATTTATTAAATTAATAAATAAAAATAAATAGCACCCATCTTATTTAATTATTCTAGAAAATAATTATTGATTATTTAAACATTCTAATTCTTTTAAACAATTAAATCTTACATAATTTTTGATAAAGTTCAATATACAAAACAATCTTTATCAAAAAATAAGAAGATGAATAAATAATTAATTATTTTCACCTTTAAATTAAAAATTAAGGGGCAAGATGCCCTAATTAATGTAATAATCAATCAATATTTTGTTAATACATTAGGATCCTTAAATAAAATAAAGAACTCTTTATTATCAAATTAACTTAGAATCTTTTTATTATCTTATCCTTCATCAATATTCTCTAATAACCATTCAATTAGTTTTCTTTAAGATCCAAAATCACTTATGTACTCTAAAATAAATAATAAATTTACTTTGTAATAAGGGATGAATTACAATTTCTTATTCAACTAAATCAAGTATTACATTTTTTTATATAAACTATTAAATTTATTTGTAAATATATTAAGTAATTTAACCTTCATCTAAAAAGATTAATTCTTAAGTAATTGATGATTATTGATCTTAATATTCTTCTATGAATAAAATGAAAATTCCCTTTATTTCTTATTATATGATTCTGGGGTCATCTTTAGGTAGCAAATGAATATTTTCAGTATTTTTATTTCCTCTCAAGATTCCATGCTTTATTTATCCAAAAGTAGTTATCTAACCACTTATACAATAAGAGAATTCTTAGGAAATTGGACGAGGAACTATTATTGTACTAATTACAGATTATAATAAATTGCAAGGTTAATTAATTAATTCTTTTTTTTTCTACAAGTTTTGAACATAATATTATTATAATGATCTATTATATTAATATTATATTACTAATGTAATCTCATTAATTAATATATATTAACATATACTGCAAGTTTCTTTTAAGGAGAATAGTCAATCATTGTTGCTTTCTAGAGTTCTAATGTTTAATGAACTAACTAGAAAAAGTCATTGAAATTTTTATTAAATGCCTCAAAGCTTAATTATTTCTTTTCTGTAATTTTTCTTTGAAATTCCTTAAATTTCCTAATGAGTTTTTTTAAAATAAACATCATATCTTGAGAATTGCTAGTAAATACTTAATAATTGTTTGCAGGTATGGATTCTAAAAACATTGGAAATGAATAATAAGAAGTAGAGATCAGTTATTGATTATTATTATCTAATGGAATTATTAAATGTTATTCAAGTAGAGTTGATACAAATTACTACAATTCTGTCTCATTTTTTTTATCAAAATTTTATTTAAGATAATTAAGTATATCTGATCCTAAAACTCCAATTTATTCACTATATAATAATTATTAAATATATTACATTTGATTTACAATCCCTATTGTAATTTTTCTAAGTTAAACTTTATCAATTATGGCAGCTACAACTTTCAAACAATTATCTTCTGGATTCTAAGAGTTACCACTATCATCATTATTTTACCCAAGTTAATATTTTTTGAAAAATATTTAATTTGCTAAAAATTTATATATTATTCTACTTTCATTTGGATGATCAATATAAAATTAGTTTATTTTTTCTTCAATACATGGTATGTTAGCCAAATCTTCCACAAATGGCCTTTTATTAGGATCCTTCTATAATGTTTTTTCTATTAATTGTTAAAGATCTGAATCGACTGATGGATCCATATCATAAGGTTTATTTTGTATCATGTCAAATACAATTTGCATAACATCATGTTAGAATGGTCGTTTTAACATTACCAATTCATATAATGCACAACCTAATGCCCAAATATCTGCTTTTTTTCCATAAGGTTCACCTCTAATAACTTCCGGAGGCATAAAATAAGGAGTTCCTAAAAAGGTTTATGCAAAATTGGCATGAGTACCTAATGCTTTTGAAATTCCAAAATCTCCTAATTTAATTACCTATTCTATTAAAAATATAATGAAATATAAACCTTTATTCAAAAACATATTTTAAGTTTTAATATCTCTATGAAGGATATTCTTAGAATGCATAAAATGTATAGCAATTACTAATTAAGCCATCCAAGCTAATATTTGATCTTTAGGTATTTTTTAACCAACTCTAATATGTTCAGAGATTTTTTCATTTAATGATCCTCCTTCTGCATATTCCATGATTATATTTAAAGAATCATTTTCAGCAAAGCTTTCATAATATTTAATTATTGTTGGAGCTGTTAGAACTCTTAATAAACTTACTTCATTTTCAGCATTTTTCTTTTCTTATTCATTCATAAATGAAGTTGGAATTACCTAAATTCATTTAAATTTTACTTTCATTGCATATAATTCTTAATCAGTACTTTTTCTTACTAATTGAACACAACCAAAAGCTCCTCTTCCTAAATCTCTAACAACTTCATAAAACCCTTTTTCATTTGAATTGTTCTACATATATTAACACATTACATTTCTATTTTTAGGTTTCTTCTTGACTAATTCTTATAAACTTTAAAATTATTTAAAGTTGACTGGTTTAACTAAATAATTTAATGCTCCTGCTCCTAGACAAGCAGCCACAATATCAGTTTCCCCATCTCCACTCATCATAATCACTGGAGTTTCCTTTAGTTTATCAATACTACATAACAATTTTAAATACCTTTTTATAATTTTTAATAAGTCAAGTCCTCCCATCTCTGGCATCAATAAATCGAGAAGAATTAAATCAAATTCATTCTCATTCTTTAATAGTTCATCTCTAGCTTCTAATCCATTTTTGCAAGCAATAACTTAAAATCCACATAATTATAATAAATCCACTATAGCTACTCCTATCAAAGTTTATAAATGCATATACTTTAGAATAAATCATCTTCCGCAATTAATACATTCATTATCTCTTTATTTGAATCATCTCTTTTTTTAACTCTGCTTTACATGTATTTATAAAAATAATTATTTATTTAAAAAATTTAGATGCTTAAGCTTCCTATTTCAAAGGACTAAATAACATTAATAGAAACAGATGTAAAAAGTAATAAAAAATAAAGATTATTCACTGTAATATAAACTAAATATTATATAAAAAGAATCACTAAAGGAGATTTAGAAATCAATTTTAATGTATTTTATAAAGTTGATTTATTTTAAGGATTAAATTAAACTTATAGAAAATTTTATATAAGTATATCTAGCTAGAATAAGGATAACTCAAGTTTTATATACTTTCATTATGATTGTTATTTTCTTTACAAAATTTTCTCAATTTAATATCAAAATCTTTACATTAATATTTCAACCATTGTTTTAATAAAATTTAATTTTGCATACAATATAAACTAACAATTAAAAATAATATAAATTTGTTGATACTTATAATAAATTATTTTTTTATATATCATTAAAGAGGCTTCTATAATTAGCTAGAATTAAATTTTTTTTTGGCAAGTTCATGATACAAATCTTTGAATTTCTTTAAAATAATCAAAAAGTCATTATCAATACATTCTATACATGATTTTTGTAAAATTAATTCATTCTTATTCTCCCTAACTTATTTTTATATTTCCAAATTATTTTACTCAAATTATTAAATAATTATTTTATTTTCATCTTAGATTCGAGTTAATTCTTAAGAAAAATAACTAGTATATGTGATTGTTTTATTACTTAATCTCCTATCTCATTTATTATAAGTGTGTTAAAAATTCTCTTTAATTTTCATTTGTTTCTTAATTTGTTGAATATACTTACTTAATATATTATTCATTTTAAATAAGCCTATCTAAACTATCTTTTAATTAATCATTTATTTACTATTCAACTTCTTCTGAAAATTAACATTCCTTTTAAGAAATTTTGTTCATTTATTCTATTAATAAGTTTAATTTATTCTCAAATTATTCAATTTTTTAACATAAACCATCTGTATTAGATGTATTTTTGATATCAGTTCTAGTTATTACAGTATTAGATCTAGCAATTTATGAACGAGATCTTAAAGGTTTCTACTATTTTTATTGTGTATCTAATGGTTGAATTATTTAAGCAGATATTATGTCAATATTAGATAAATCACTAAATTTCCCTAAATTAAAATTTGCATTACTTTATTAAATTTATTCTGATTATGTATCATCATGTTATTTTTAAGCAAAATATTATTCAGATGGCTTCAATAAATTAATTTAAGCATTTAAAAATTTAATTTCATCTCTATTATCTAATCTTTAATCTATCTCTAAAAATTTATCTTCTATCATTTATAAAATTTGTGCAAATATTTATTTTGCTATTACTTCTTGTTAACAATTAGCCTCTAAAAATAATGACAGTCCTAAAGGATTGAATTGTTAAAACTCAATGGATTCTTTAATACTATACTTTTTTTATTATTATTATTCTTGAGTAGATTATTCCTAGTGTGTGAATTCATATGGGGTATAATTTTTTTATTACATAAAATTTATTATGGGAAATTTCATCAAGAATTTAGAAATAAATTAAAGAAATTTTGATATATATTCAACTATTTTATATGAATAGAATTATATTAGTAATTAAATTGAAATAAGAGATAAATTTCATAAATAGTTTTTATTATAATGATTTTATGATAATATCAAAAAGACACACTCATATTTCTATGGCATCCTATTCTTAAGGTTCTTCATCATCATCATAAATTTCAAGCAAACCTTCTTATCTTTATGGAAGGACTTTCTTTCCTTATTATGGGAAACAGAAACATTAAGTTGTTGGCAAAACAAATTATTTATCTTACATCAATTATTTTCTTTTCTCTAATTCTTAAACAACATTATCAATATTAGTTAATGAAACATTTTCATATTAATCACCAGCTAAACAGATTGGACTATAAAAATAAGTAGATTTTAATACTCTTTCATAGGTGTGCAATCTTCAACTGGCTTTGGAGTTGGTTAATAGGTGATGTCACAAGCAAAAAGATTTAATCCTTGAATAAATCCTTAGAAAGCATCAGTTAATTAATCTTTTCCATAATAAAGAATAAGGGATGGAGCAACATAATGATTGACATTCTTGAATGATAAAGCTCCCTTTCCTTATGAATGTTCAACTATGACATCAGCTTATCTACTCTTTCTAGAATAAGCAAAGTAAATATGGAACCAATCTTTGACAAAAGTCTTACCTTCAACAATCTATCTAACTTCAGGATTTCCAGATCTAATATTATAATTATATAAAATTACCCTAATTAATCAGTGTATGTATAAGTATAGAAATTAAGTGTTTAATCTCTAGTATCAAAGTAACAACTAAGTGTATCAAAATTAAGTGCATCTTCACCAGCAAGAGTAGATGTTAATCTGAATAATAATTAATCTTTTTCAGATGTCTTACCATTCCATTTAAACCATCCTTAAACAGAATATTATTCAGTTGTTCCAAATCTATCACCAGAATTAACTGGATTTCCATTGAATTATGAAGCCTTGGCTGAGACTGCTCTAATCAAACCTTTACTTGAACAATCCTTTTATGGTTGAGGATTGCAACTTAAACAAAATGGATTATATTCTTCTAATGTATCAAAGAATGATCCTGATCCTAATCTTAAAACTGGTCTATGGAATTAACCATTAAATGAATAATATCTATCTTATGGATCCTTTCCACCAACTTAGAATAATAATTATTCCATTCTTGGATGTGTAACTTTGGCTTCTAAAGTAATAGGTGCTTAGTTCTCAATCTAATAAAATGCAATAGCCTTATATCTAGTATAACTGAAATAAGTGTAAATCCAAACTCCTTCAATATCTCCAAATGGTTAAGCTAATTCTACTAATTTCTTAGCTTTATTATTAGCAGTGATATAAAAGAAACCAACTTTTCCTTAGAAAATAGTTAATAAACCATCTCTAATATCTTTTGGTGTTTCCTTTTTATTTGTAAGACGGGCAATCAATGACCAATCAGGTCTACTATTTTCATTTTATCCACCTGCCAAACCAGTATATCTGAACCAGAATCCATAACCATATTAAGTAGTGTCTTTCAAATCATCTTTATGTAATTCAACATGAACAACTGGCCCTTTATCATATTTTGCATTAATTATTCTATTTGGTCCTTCAACACATCTCTTTTTAGGGGGAGGTGGTGTTGGTACTGGTCTTAAAGCTGGTTTAACATTTGTTAAATAAGATCCTTTACAGAAGAATACTTCAAGATAGGCCATAAATCCACTGTAGACTGGGAATTGTCTCTCTCTTCCAAAATAGAAATAATGTTTAGGTGATACAAAGTGATTAACATTGACGAAACTTAAAGATTTAGCATGAACATGTTTAAATAAGACTTAAGCATATGCTTTTCTTTAATCTCTACTGTAACCAAAATATACAAAATGCCAGTGTAAATGTTAATCTTAATGTTAGACATATTGATGAGCATTGGGATTACCAGATCCTTTCATATTTGCATAAGAATAAGTTGAAAAGTGAATTTATCCACCTTTTGGTTTACCTAACCAAGCAGCTAATACTCTTTCACCTAATAAAATTTATTATTTTCTTAATGGTGTATTTGATAATCTGAACATTGTATGCCAATTCTCTTACAAATCTGTTTCTTCCCATTTAAACCAACCTTAAACTGCATATTCATCAGGTAATAATAAGTCAATAAATTCTTATGTAGGTGGTGCATTATTATCTTCAATATCTACATATGTGGATTCTCTGGCAAATTAATATGGAACTAATTTTTATGGTGCAACATATGGTTAAGGATTGCATGAAATAGCATATTACAAGAATTCTTATTCATTAATTAAATATGTTCCCAAACCAATTGCTAATACTGGTCTGCTTATTTATCCATTAAATCCTGGGAAATCGAAATATTAACCTCCTAAAACAAATCTCAAATATTAAGGAGTTCCTTAAGATGCTGGTAATGTAACTTATTTAACTAATTGACTATTTGATTGTTTATAGAAACCAATAGCTTATTATTGATAAGCTGAGTAACTGTAATAAACGTATGTCCAAACAGCTTCAATATCTCCAAAAACAATAGCAGCTGTAGCTTCTTTTCTTTCAGGTTTATCATGTTAAGCACTAAAAATATATTATTCTTAAGTTTAGAATATAGTTAACAATCTGTCGCCTATCTTATCATCACCATCTTATTAATTCTTTGTTAATTTAGCGACAAAGTAAGATTAGTCAGTTAAACCGCTTTACAATTATTCTGGATACAATGTTAAAAATCTCATCCAAAAACCAAAACCATATTCATTAACATCCTTTAATTTCTTGACTTCTGTTTCAACAGTAGGTTGATCAGCAGAGATAGAACTTGTTAATATTATATCTGATCCAACAACACATTTTGGTTATCTTTATTATGGAAAAGGAATGTCACAACCTACTTCTTCAGGTACTGGATGATCATTTTATCTGTAATTTCCTGGAACTACTCTTTATTTAGACACTTTTCTTTATTAATATCTATCACCACATTTATCTTTTATGGCAATTATTCTTTCTTTTTATTCTTTTATTCTTTATTATGGTTATGGTTATTATTAAACTGATTAGGCTCTAGGCTATGGTTATGTTGTTTATTAATATTAGTTTTATACTCTAGTAATTTGTTTCAATAAATATTCAATCAATCCATATAACATTGCCAATTATGATCTCTTTTATTCAAAAGATCCTATTAAATCATTAATATTATATTATACTTGATTCAATTACTCTTCTAATTTAGTCTGAAATTTGTCTGCTTTATTCAAATAAGAATTTTCTTTGAGGACCATTATATTAATTCTGAATTGTTTATAATTGCTCATCCATTTACTCTAACTACTCATCATATTATTAGTCTTCCATTAAATCATTTGGATTAGCTAATTTTTTGTCAAAAGATTTACCTGATA